GAAAGTACCACTTATCGAATTGACTGTCAGCAAGATAGGTAACGCGCTGTGCCCATTCGATCTTAGTTTCTCGTATAGTTACAGTGACATTATGGATGCCGCCCTACCGACGCAAAATCTGACCGTTTATACATTAAAATGCGATGGTAAATGATAGAAAGCTAATTTTGGCAAAGCTTTATGAAGCATGCGGCCAGTTAGGCAGTCGGGAGGAAAGAAAGTTTACTTACTAAGAAATGCAAGAGCAAGAAGATTATGTATAACACAGAAATTCACTGAGCGGCAAGTAGGCTTTAACTGCTCAACTTAAGATAATAAACAGTTTGATACTCCAAATGGATAAATAACTCACTTTGTTGGGGTCATAGTGGGTCTCAGTAAAGCCCTCGTCAAACTCTGGTGGCATAATTTTTGCTGAAACATGATTACGTATTGTCTCTTCATTGCAAAAATCATGGAATAACTGATCACAGAGATCGCGAGCCATCATACCACCAGCATACATATCAACAAATCGTAACAGCAGTACACCATCTGAAACAAGAGGACTGTTCAGAAGCGTCGCATAAAAGATGATTAGATATTGGTTACCTCTAGAACCATGATTTGTTTGCCAATCCTTGTTCTGATTTCGCAGCAAACCTTTTCATTTTTGGCTGTCAAACAAGAAAGAAACCAGGCACCAACGCGCACCAGGTTTCCACGTGGTCATGCGTTTTTACAGCCTAAAATTTGCCGTGTCCTTATGCAAAAGGTTAGCACGCGTGCTCTTACAATTTTTTCGTGCCCCACAGAATCAAGCAGTAGTCTCAGAGAATTACAGCTTTTTTGCCGAGCTGAATGCTAAGAGCGTAGGATAACGGCTGTTTTGAATATTTTATGCATTTGTACGTAGGGCACATGCCAATCAGTAGCTCACTGTAGGCTTACTGGCGCGCAAATAAATGGCAGTAGGATCTCCAAAAAATGCTGCCTTCTGCTCAGTCTGATTATCAAAATAACTGGGTACTAAAAGTGTCCCAGACTAAAACTTCGCTTGCATGCATGCGAGGCCTACTGCTTTGAAGCTGAATTTGAAACATTTAGGTCGCAAACAGGCGTAGAATATCCTCACGAAATTTTAATTTCCTAGCTTGACTGGTTGGTGAAGTCGCTTTTCATTATTAAAGGTCTTCGGCGTTCCCAAACGCGCAACATAGACATAAACCAAAGCTCCTTTTATTGTCTTATTCTGTCCGCATATTCTCATAAAATTAGAATGCTCTAATCAATTAGATCCCCAAGCCAGCAATTTGCCAATGATATTTCAGTTCTCCAGATGGATGATAAATGTTTTGGCAAAATTACAGCTATTGTATTCCAGCAAACTGTCGAGTCTGCGCAGTGCCAACTTGCGAAAAATGACGTGACCGTACACATAATGCGAGAGTGCGCGGAAGTTGAATTTAAAACTTTTAGCTCACAAATGCACAGACAGTACCCTTGCAAAGTTCTAGCTTCTTAATTTTGCCAGTTTCCGAAATCGTTTTCCCACCAAAAAAATTGTATGTTTTTTAGAGTGTCCATACGTGAGATCTAGAGCTGATCTTAAAATGAAAGGCTGACACAGGGTGTGAGAATACGCCCGCAAAATTTCAATCTCCTAGCTTTCCCAGAAATTGCTGAGTTGAAAGTGGGTGACAAAGTTCACTCGTTTTCGAACATACACACACACACATGCACACACACACACG